GCACTCTGTGGCGTGCCAAACGGTGTTGCGAGCCCGCTTATAAGCGCGAATGCAACGGGTTGCCCCGCAGGAATGGGCAGCTGCTGTGCCCGTGCACGCCGCGGATCGCTGGTGAAGAGCCCATCATTTGGAGCTACGCCACTGGAGGTCATGCCTGACGCGTCCGCGCTCGGGGCCTAAATCCAGGATCTATCAAAGCCGTCTGCAGACATTCCCGCTGGATTCGCATCCTGAATCATGAACACCGTGGCACGATGCACCTCCGCTGTGGGTGAGTTTGGCACGGGCACGCACAGATTGCGCGGTGTCCCTTGGGTGGTCCATCCCTCCAGCGTGGAACAGTCATTGTGATCTGTTTCGTGCCAGTCGTGCGGTGCGGATGGAGGCATGGTGCCACGCTGTGCTTGGGTGTGAATCTCATTGACCAATCTATTTGTCCAACTCTATTGCGCACGCAGTCATTCGGGTTATCCTTGATGCCGATGGACAAGACAAGGAAGAACACCAGGATGCGACCATCCACCACGGAAGCCACGATGAGATCATCAGCAGATCGTCGCTCTGGGATTGGGGCTTATTGCTATCAACGCCTCGGCGTCTGCACGCATGGCCGACTGAATGCGCCGGTCTCCAGGCAGGCATGGGCATCCATGTTACATCTGCCTGCCCGACTTCCCCTTGGGGTTGTCTGAGCCTCGGCATGACAGACCGATCTGCAATATGCTCGGGATGTTCCTCCACTGAGTCCCGTGTGCGAAGAAACGCGGTGCTCCTTCCGCTGTCAGGTCGGTCACCTGCGAGTATAGTGGCTCTGGGCACCTACTGCCTGGATTGCTGGGCACATCGCTGGGCCGCGGGTAGTAGGTCGGGCAGGTTTCCCCGCTGGGACTGGTTTTCTTCATCTGGAGTCGGCTCTGCTTCGTGCCAGTACTGTGGTCAAACAATTCAATACTTACCACAACAAGTGCCTGTTATGTCCAATACTTGGGCTCGAAATGCTGCTCAACGACGTCCGGTTCGCGGTGCCATCTGCAGTTGCGTGGTGTCCAGTTGGCCAGCGCATCGCTGAGGCGCACCCAGCCGTCGAACTCGTCGTGCGAGATAACCGCATCCGTGAACCGATGTGAGCTGTTGTCACTATGAAGCGGCTTGTGCTGGATAGCTGTGGCGAGCCATTCCGAGCAGTTACGCTGCTCGCGCAACCCCGATAATCGCGTTGACAGTTTCTCGTTCCCGGGCATCGTCGTCAGTGCTTCGGCTTCACCGCTGTAAATGAGAACTGGCTCTCGGCGCAGCTGGCCACGAACTCGCTGGCGTTCGGCGGCCACCTCGGTCGCGTACGTTGCTGTGCATTCAATTGAATACTTGACTGCCCTGCATCGTCTCGCGCCACCGTCTGCCCTTTCGTCATGTGCAGGGTTAACTGGCATCTGATGAGGATTGTCGAGTACTTCCCAATAACGCCTGCTTCCCTCTTCCACTCCAGGGGCGCTAGCAGGTTGCCCCGCGGATGCAGATGTAGCAGGCGCCCCCGCAGAGGCCGCCGCAGCAGCAGGCTCCGCAGGTGGCCCCGCAATTCCAGGCGGGCCCTTCTCCTTCTCGTGGATGTCCTTGCACTGGCACCTGCTCCACTTTGGAGCATCTGGCGGGGGCGCCTTGGGCGCGGCTAGGAGTGCTTTCCTTTCCGCGTTCTGCTGCGAGGCATGGTGAATAATCGAACCACCCAGCGAGGGTGACCAGCTAGCTCCACGGCGGCTTCGGCCAGGAATAGCACCGCGTAGCGCGACAGGTTCCTTCGGCTCGGGCGCGCCGCTGCCTTCGAATGCCGCCGCCGCAGCGGCGCAAGCCGGCCCCTTGGAGCGCGTTCTGCGAGCAGGTTGCCCCGCGGGCTCCCCGTCATATCGCTTCGTTCTGCTTCTCTCAGGACTGGCTTCTCCTGAGCTGGTCCGCGTCTTCGACCTCGTTGGCCTCGGTGGGCTTGAGGGCGGGGGCAGACCTACGTCTTTCGACGAGCGCTTCGGGGGCCCATCTGCTTGATCAGCGGGTTTCCCCGCATCCGCGGGCTTAGCAGGTTCCCCCGCGCTGTCTTCTGAGGAGTCATCTGTCTGAGCCCGCCCGCGACGATGCATCCTTGCATTCTCGATCTCGGCATTCTTCTCGCATTCCAAATCGCACCTTCCATCGGGCAGCTTGCGTTTCACCGGGCCTCTGCGTCGGCTTTGGCACCGCGCTACCTCGCGCAGTGCCCGCCAGTGACTTGCGCATCAACGCCCGCATCTGCATCGGCGGTTTCGTCGGCGCGGGGCTCATACTCATATTCAGACGCAGGTGCGGTGGGATCAGCAACTGGTGTGAGGCCTGAAGCCTTCTCCGCTTTCCCAGCCTCGGCCGGCGCGTTACATGGCCCGTCCTGGCCCCGGCCAAAACCTTCGCGAGAAGCGGCGCGTTTCCCCGCGGAGGAGGCCGCTGCCGCGTCGCATCGGGCCCGCCGCCGTTGGCGCTCGCGGCGCGCCCGATTGCGGCGCTTGAGTCGGTGCCCCTCATCTAGGGCCTGCCACTCCTGCTCGACGCGTCCTGCCTGGATGTCATCTAGCGGTTTGTAGTCCGCTGTGGTCAAGTGAAGGTGACTGCGGTTGCAGCCTGGGCCCACTCTGCGGCCTTGGCCATCTCCGTGCGACCAGGCCCGCGGGGCTCTCTCGAAGTTGGGGCTCCTTGAATGGCGCCCCATCGGGCAATTCGGCCAGTGGTCCGCGAAGTGCTCGCATCCACGGACCACCTCTCGGTATTTCTTCCCATCCGCACAGATGCCTCTTCTGTAAGCCTTCCTCTCCAGCGTTTCAGGCTGCCGGGCGTTGCCGGCTCCGCCAGCATGGATAATTTTGCCCGCGACCGGGTCCCGACGCACATGCTGCATTGACCATTGATGGCGGACGTGGTGGTCGGTCCAGCCTGGAGACCGCCAGTGCGCCATGCATTCGCGCGGTACACGGTGGCGAACGATGCCGTCATTCTGGTCGCCAACTTCCCTGAATCGAGGCTGGCCTTCGGGCCCATCGGAGCCCTCGAAGCCCTGGCGCAGGTTGCCATGCGATCGCGCCCTTCCTGGCGGCCCGCCCGGATGTCGCTGGCGCGGGCGCCGCGCGCCGCTTGAGCGGGCACGCGAGAGTCTGCGAGAATGACTCCACCGACGATGGCATGGCGGTTCGCTCTCAACCCCCCATTCCTCATCATCATCGTTCGTCCGACCTACGCGTCTCTAAGCCTTGCGGCTTGATGGGCGGTCGTGTAGTACACAGGTAGAGTGAGAACCTTCATTGTGTCCAAGTTCGCATTGGATCCGTTCATGGAGATCACCAGTGTCGCGCGGGTCACCCCGCAAATGATCATCATCGCAGGTTGCCCTGCAAGTAGGATTTCTAATCACCTGCGGTTGGGGCGCCACTTGTAGCTCCTCTTCCGTGGCCGGAATCGCATCGTCATCAGAGTCGCCCGGCTCGTATCTGTCGCAAAACGCTGGTGCCCCCGCCATCTCGCAGTCCGAGTCGGCGGATGCTTGGCACTCCTCGGCGATCTCCATGCAAGCAGGTTGCCCCGCGATCGGGATGCACGGCCAATCTGCGAGATTGATCTCGTCGCGGCCAACGAGCGCCTCCTCGCAGAGCTACTCGGCGCACGTCTCGAGGGACAGGCTGGCGTTCACGCATCTCGCAGACGTGAAATGGACGGCAGCAGTGGGGGCACCTTCGGACTCGGCAAAAAAGGTTCGACATCGACATGCTGAATGTCAGAATCGGTTTGAGCCAAGTGCGCCGACGGACCCCCCTGCCCCCCCCGTCGCCCTGGGGGCGCTCGCAACGGAAATGCTAGGTGCCATGGCAGATGTTGCATTCCATGGTTTTCCCGTTGGCATCCTTCGGGTGGCCCCGACGCCCCTTGCCTTTTCCCGAGGTGCGTCTACGGCCTCTACCCTTCCCCAGGGAGATTTCCTCATACTGTGGTCCCGCAAGGGAGGCCAGGGATGTTGGCGTGCCTCTGCCATGCGACCGTCGTCGTCTACCCTTGCCTCTACGCTTGCCCTCTGACCCCGCGCGTCGTGCCTTTCGAACTGGTTTCTGCGTAAAGCGTCTCCATCGGCGTTAATGTTCCTGGTAGCCTAATAATACCAATTGTGCTCGCTGTTCCTCAGCGAGGTGCGCAAGCATATCAGGAAAGTCTAGGTTCCCAGTGCCTGCGTCTGACGAGGTGTCGGCATTGGTGCCCGAGTCAAAATCGGACTCTGCGGGTTGCCCCTCCGAGCCCACTAAGGCAGTGGCTTGGGCAGGGGCCGCCGTTGACGACGGTCTCAGATATTGAGCCCAGGAGTCCCGCGACCCCGCGCGCTGGCCACCCTGTTGGTCTAATAGAGTGGCGGCCAAGTTTGGTCGTGGATCGTCGTTCAGCACGGCGCTGGCAGGTCGCCCCGCGCGTGCGTCACCGTGAAAGACATCGGCGCGATGGCCGCGATTAAACACACCACCAATATTACCAGGGGCTCGCTCATCAATGCGGGCGTAAGCCCTCGTACGCTCCAGTAGGGAATCAAATTGTTGCTGAGTCCTTGGCATTTGGTGGTTTGATGGTTTTCGTAGCTGTTGCGCGCGCGAAGCACCGACACCTAGGGCCTTCAACAGTATGACTGTCAGGACTTGGAAATTTGGGATATCTGAAAATGCCGTTTGGACTCTGGGCCGCCCCCAGACTCTGCCCCCCCCCCACCCCCGCCTCCTCCTCTTCCTCCTCTGGACCTCTGGATGGTGGCAGTTCTTGTGCATGAGAATGATGCCATCGTCCTCTTCCTCCTCCTCTTCCTCCTCTTCCTCCTCCTCGTCCGCCTCCTCTTTTTCCTCCCTCCCTTCATCCCCTGCATCCTCCTCCTCCTCCCACAGTTCCTCCTGCCTCCCCTCGCCCTCTTCCTCTTCCTCTTCCTGCTTCTGGGCCCCGAGCGAGCGGCCAGAGAGCCCCGAGGCGGCTTCAGGAGCGGCCCAACATGGCCCCGAGACAAGCCCAGGAAGTATGGGCCAGCGGGCCCCCAATTGGCACATGACTCCCGGGTCCCTCTTCGGGGCCATTTTGAGCCCCTCGCGCGGCCGCCCCGGGCCCCCCTGGGAGTCCAGCGGGCCTTCGAAGGCCCTGAGAAGCACCCGAGAAGGCACCCTGAAGGCCCCAATGCGGCCAAGGGGGAGGGGCCCAAGATGGCCCCAAGAGACGCCCCGGAATTGTGCACCAGCGGCCAGGGGCCCCAGTTAGCAGGCGTGCCTCCGACTCGCTGTCGGACAGCTGGCGGCGCCGAGCCGAGCGCCTCGCCCTCGCCGGCTGCGCGGGGGGCGGCGGGGCCTCGGCCTCGGAGTCGGACGAGCCTACCTCCTCGGCCACGCCGCCCTGGGCTGTCTGCTGCTGGAGCCGACGCGCTGCCTGCGCGATCAGCCGCTCGAGCCCTGGCAGGCTGGCCCCGGCACTCACCGCGCCCACCGAGACGCCCTCGCCCGGCCGAGGCTCGCGGGCTCCCGCGTGCGGCTGCGGCGGCACCTCTGCGTCCTCGGTCGACGCGTGGTACCCGCCGCCCGCCGCCGCGACACCCGACGCGAGCATCGCAGGGCCAAACAGCTTCGACCCGAAGTGCATGTAGTCGTCTTCCCATGACTCTGGCACTGAATCGCGCAGCTTGCGCTTCAACGCTATCACGAAGCCGACCGCCGTCGGGGCTCCCTCTAGGTCGTCGATCGTTGTCTCGAGCGACGCTGTCCCGACGCCTCGAGCCGCCAGCGCCGGCATTGCCAGCGTCACGCGCTGGTCGTGGAGCTCTGCGACCACCTCCCCGACGCACAACGCCTGGCGCCTCGGGCCTTCGCCGCCGACCAGGCGAACGCAGGACACGGCGCCGACCTCGAAGGCCATGCCCCCTGCACCCGGCGCTGCTGCTCGAGAGACACAACTGCGCTTGAGGCCCCCCCTTTCCCCATCAAACCTGACACGCTACCGACAACTACCTGCCATATAGACATACACACATATCCCATCCTACAGATCCCACGTCATGCGCAGGGTAACCGTACGGAGCGCTCCCAGCCCTCCTCGAAACATCCAGATAGGAGATCAGTTTCCGAACCCCTGGCAACTCCCAAAGTCTGGGCACCTGAGACTCGCCGCATCCCCCCTCGGCCATGCATGCTACACGGAGCACCTGGCAAGAATAGCTAGCGATGGCGCCGTTCACCTGCCGTGGGGAAACGAAGCCACGCAGCGAACCAGGCCCACAGACAAGGCAGCGATGACCTCTTCGACAGCGGCGAGCACTCTCTTTGTTGCAGGTGGGTATGCTTCTCACATTTTGTCAGCGTGCGCTGGCTCAGAAAGCTGAGCCCCCCGTCAAAATCTCTCTGTCCGAAAATCGGCGGCGAGCCCAGGGGGGAGTGAGAAGGGGCGGGCCTTCCTTGAAGGCTCGGAAAATCTCGGGCCCTCTGATGTTTCTCTCAACGTTTTCCGGAGACACAGAAAACTTCTCAGAAGGCCGGGCGACTTCTGAGAATCCCCGCCGCCTTCTGACAAGGTCTGCCACCTCTCACTGCATCTTCCCCCGGACGCGCCGCCGAGAAAAGAAAAAAACCCAGCACGCCTGCTCTCTGGATGGCAGCTTCTCCCAGACCTCCTCGCGGCGCGGTGCGAGGCGGTGCACGACGGGGGCGGCGCGCTCCCCCCATCCCCCCTCAGCAGCCCGCCTCCGAGGATGCGCTGCTTCGTCGGAGGGGCAGCCGCTCTCTTTCGGGATGGTTTCGCAATGCCTTGACGGAGTCAGCAGCTCAGTTCTTGAGTGAAGACGCTAGCCAGCGTGGACCCCAGTCAATCAGGTATTGCGCTGTGGAGGTGGAGTATACATCGTGTCAGCTATTATGTGGTGATAGCTGTGGTGCGCAAGTAATGTGAGCTATGTAGTGTAAGGTATTGCTTAGTAAGCTATGTTATGTGACAGATAACCTGGTGTGAACTATGATAGGTAAGCTATATGGTGTACGCTACGTTGGTTAAGCTATGTGTTGTGAGCCATATGCTGTGCGCTCGGTTGTGTCATATGAGTCATATGTGTGGAGCGAGCTATGTGGTGAACACTACACGATGCAAGCTATGTAGTGTAGGCTATCTTATATACGCCATGTGGTCGGAGCTATGCGCTGAAAGCGGCCAAGCTATGTGGTGGAATACCACCAGCCCTCTGGGCGTAGGTGGTGTAACGATTGTTGTCTTCTCTCTATCCAAACCCCTCCTTCCCCTGCTCGTTACTCCTCCCCCTACTCCCTCCTCTGAACCTGGGAATGGGGGGGACGGAGGGGCTAGAGTGTCCAAGATGGCCCAAGGAGGCTCCAAGAGTGCCGCAAAGAGCCCAACATCGCTTCCAAGATCGTTCAAGACAACCGAAGATGGCCCAAGGTGGGCCTCAACACAGCACAAGGCGATTCCAAGTGCCCTTCGGGGCTTCCATGGCATCCCCCAATAGGCCAACATCCTTCAAACACCTAAGAGAAATCACTGCACCCCAAGAGGGCCCAAAGAACGTCCAAGAGCGCTACAAAAGCGCCCCACTTGGGCCCCAAGGCGCTCTTTTTGAGCCTCCGAAAAGGGGGTATGGGGGGGAGCTGAATTGAGGACCGCACCCAGTTTTTTGAGCCATGTGGCCGGAGATCGGCCCACAAATGCCTCCCAGAACACCCACATAACCTCATAAGGACTCCAAGAAAGGCACCAGAGAGCACAAAAGGTCCTCAAGAGAGCCCCGAGAGACTCCGCGAGGATCCTCAAAGAGCCCCAAGACGGCTCCAAGAGACCTCCGAACAAACGCTTCCAAGGCGATTGTCATGCTGCATGCTTCTGCGCTGCCCTGATCAAGGCAACTCGAATGGCGATCCGTCTCTGGATGGGCTGGTGGGGATACTTTTTTGATCGCGAACGCACCGGAGGACGCCGGGCGCCGTCAAAGGTCGCAGCAAGCAAGCCACGAGCTGATTGCGCCAAGGGGAAGGAAGGGAGGCGACGAGAGGACAGCGGGGGGAGGAACAAACAGGAGGCGGGCCTAACTGGTGGGGATACGCCAGGCGTCAAAAAATAGGCTAGACATACTTGGGGTTGTCAAGCCCACTGCTCGCGCAATCATCCCACCCCCCTGGCCGCAACTTGGTTTCCATAGCCCATGCTGCGGCGATTGCGATGAGTGCTTGGTGTTGGCTGGTGTATATCTGCGGCGGCGCTAGCCCGCGCATGCTCGCGCGCGCAACAGCAAACTAGTTCGGCGCGACCGACGCGTCCGTGTAGGCGCTGACCGCAACGTGTCTCGCAAACCGCGCTGACGTGCGGGCACTTCTGTGTCGGTGACTTGGGTGGGCGCGGTATGACGACGTCGACAACGGTAGACACGCTAATTCTGGTAGCGACGAAGGTGACGATGCTGATGATGACGACGGCAAAGCCAATGACGGCGCCGATGCTCGTCACGCCGACGACGATGATGGTGCCCTCGAGTCGGTGATGAAGGTTTTGGGCGGCTTTCGACATACGCGCGCGGCCGACGCGCGCGAGTGGCCCGCATGGTATTATTTGACAGGGATCGCGCCCCCCCCCCCCCAGCATGCGCGCAAGGGCGTTCGAATGATCTCGACATGCGCGCGCCAGAGGCCCATGTGGTCGAATTTGATCAACATGTGTTGATGAACCTATGTTTTTTTTTTTTTTTTTAAAAAAAAAAAAAAAAAAAAAAAACATTCGCACGAGCGTGCACGAAAACCTTGTTTCGAAACGTGATGTTGAAACATCATGTGTGGACACTCGATTACTCGTTCCTGAAACCCTTACGGAATTTGAGGATTTTTGGATTTCGGCATGCGCGCGCGACGACGCGCGCGTGTGCACTTCGTTCAGTTTTGGGTAAGGTGAAAACAGATGAGTTTTTGATGCGCGAATGTGCGCGCATATTATCCCAGTGCGACCCTACCTAGGAGTTGGAGCCCCTTGGAAAGCAGCATTTGTAACAACAGTAAAGCTAAGCTACAGCTAAGCTGCAGCTAAGCTAAAGCTAATATAAAGCTAAGCTAAAGCTAAGCTTAAGCTAAGCTAGAGCTAAGCTAAAGCTCAGCTGAAGCTAAGCTAACGCTAACCTGAAGCTAAGCTGAAGCTAGGCCAAAGCTAAGCTAAAGCTAAGCTAAAGCTAAGCTAAAGCTCAGCTTTAGCTAAGCTAAAGCTAAGCTGAAGCTAAGCTAAAGCTAAGATGAAGCTAAGCTGAAGCTAAGCTGAAGCTAAGCTACAGTTAAGCTAAAGCTAAGCTACAACTATGGTAAAGCTAAGCTACAGCTAAAGCTAAGCTAAAGCTAAAGCTAAACTAACGCTAAGCTAACGCGGAGCTAAAGCTAAGCTAAAGCTGAGCTACAGCTAAGCTGAAGCTAAGCTGAAGTTAAGCTAAAGCTAAGCTAAAGCTAAAGCTAAGCTGGCATGGAACTAAGCTGAAGTTAGGCCAAAGCTAAGATACAGCTAAGCTAAAGCTCCGCTAAAGCTAAGCTAGAGCAAGCGGAAGCTAAGCTAAAGCTACGCTGAAGCTAAGCTGAAGCTGAGCTAGAGCTAAGCTACAGCTAAGCTAAAGCTAAGCTACAACTATGGTAAAGCTAAGCTAAAAGCTAAAGCTAAAGCTAAACTAACGCTAAGCTAACGCTGGGCTAAAGCTAAGCGCTGAGCTAAAGCTAGCCTGAAGCTAAGCTAAAGCTAAGCTAAATGTAAGCTAAAGCTAAGCTGCAGCTAAACTGCAGCTAAGCTAAAGCTAAGGCTAAGCTAGAGCTAAGCTAAGTTGAAGCTAAGTTGAAGCTTAGTTGAAGCTAAGCTGAAGCTAAGCTAAAGCTAAGCTAAAGCTAAGCTACAACTATGGGAAAGCTATGCTGAAGCTAAGCTAAAGCTAAACTAAAGCTAAGCTCAACCTAAGCTAAAGCTA